GTAGGGAAAAAAAAGGGAAAAAATGGTGAAAGCCCAGTAATAGACTAAAACAGATTCAGTAAATGCTAAAGATGATATATCAGGGAAGAGTCAAGAGCAGGTATTGGAGCACTAGGAGGAAGAGGAGCAAAGTGAACAGGAATGCATGTAAATAGAACAAAGAAAAATAAGTTGCTCCTTCAGACTGAAAACAACAATAGCTTTTTGCAAGGAAAACGGGAAGAGGAACAAGGATTTGGAGCAGAATGATCCAATAGGATGACTTAAATTTCAAGAAGAAAGAACAGTATTTGAAAAAAGAAAAAGCTAATGCTGGTATTCTGTTGCTTTTTTTCTCTCAATTATTTCCTTTACAGGCATCATAATGCAGCTGTGCATGAGGAAGGGGTTGGCCAAATACTTGTTTTGCCATGACTGACCAGTATAATGCTATTTGTCAATGGCATTTCTCTTATTTTAGTCTATATGCTTTGGCACAGAGCATATGCACTTCAGTCTTTGACCATGGCTGAGGAAAAGTGTTAATATGTAGCAAATAAAATTCAAAATGGAAGCATACCAAACAAAACTGGGAAAAGAAAGTCTCCTTTGCCAGAAACCCACCTAGAAAGCAAAGCAGTGTTTCTTCCCTTTCCAAGAGTACCTGCAATCAGCCCACTAATCTCCAAACATGCTATTAAAATTTCAGACAGCTAACAGGGAGTGGCACAAGGATTGTTCTACTGTATTTGTTTATTGTGGGAGATTAGGTTATCTGAGCAGTTATGCTGAATTTATAGAATGACTGCCAGTAGTGTGATCTACATCTCACTAGGCTCAGTGGTTGTATAATTAGTTATATCAGTTGTTACCCACTTGATATGCTGTGGATAATGTCTATGCTTTATCCTACACTGAATAAAATATACTTCATATATTAATATGAGTGCAGCTCATTAATAACAGTGTCTGCTGTTCCTTGGATTCTTAGCTCTTTCTGGGACTAATTGTTCAAATTCTGTGAACATAAGTATCCCGAGGACCTTGATGCAAATATTCTCCATAGGAAGTCCTAATGACATCAAGGCATACTTGATCATTTTCCCTTCTAGATACTATTGACATATGATGGGATGATTATTACTTATCTTTTTTTCTAGTACAAATTTCTGAGAGCCTGGTATATCATTTCCTTTCTCTTTAAGGCTCACCCTTTTTTTTTTTCTCCTGTGCTTGATTTGGATTTTTCTTTACATTTTAGCAGCCCGCAGGAAGGTGTGTGCGACAAGCAGGTATTAGTCTGAAGTAGACTCTTAATGATTTTGTGAGGACAGGGAAATTCAGAGGTGTCCGTGGGTGGAATAAGCCTCCTTCTTGGGGAAAAAACTGCGTCACTATTGTACTTTAACAAAGTGGGCCATGTTTTGTCATCTCTGTAGGAAGAATAACCTGTTTACTCTTTGGTTTAGATGGATCTTTATTGAAGACATTCCTTAGTTAAGTTTGATTTTCTTTAGCTCTTACCCAATTACTAAGAGTAGTGACAGGCCTCCACAAGCAGGATTTAGAGGATCATTAATATTCTTTATTTTACTGAAATGAAAGTAAACACTGTAATAAAGCAAAGCATACTTAGTACTACTGTAGTTTTGTAACTGCATAGTGTAGGACAGCCTGCTCCTGATAAACATTGTCACAGGCTTGTACAAATTCAACCTAAAGATTGCCTGAACCTGAGCCTCTACTCTGATAGTAGCCAATAGCAAATGCTTAGCAATAGGGCAAATGTGAACTTATTTTATTTTGTGTACTAACAGGCTGCTAATTCAAGTAGGAAATTAATGCCACAGAATGTTTTGAATGTCAGAAGAGTAACTAATTACGCTAACCCAAGCTAAGGAAGTCTCAGGAAGTGTGCAGTTGAACTAGGAGTGATATGGTGGCATGTTCATGTTCTCTGGTTTGTGCTCCAGCACTTCCATGATTCTTCAGCTTCTTGTTTGTATCTATGGTTGCTGGTAAGTTCTGAGTTGATACATCCATAGGACTTATCCAAGATTTCTTTCTGGAGTGACAATTCATTTAGAGCCCCACATTTTCTATTTTAGGCTTCTTCACTCCAACAGGAAAGCTTAATTTGAGTATGCTGTAGGTATGCTTGTAGAGAAACTGCAATAGTAACATTGAACAAGGTCCTTACATACTGTTTAGCAATAAATCAAGGGCTATTTCTGCTTTTGTGGCTTTTCTGACCAGCTGCTCATACAGACAGTCATTTTCGGTGTCTATAATTGAGTCCATTCATTATAGCCTGTAGTAAAATTGATCTATGTGAGGATAACTGAGGTTTGTTAATACAGTTTCTGTCCTTTCCAGTCTCTTGCCTTAGATTTCCAGTCACCAAAACTGTCCTGCTGGGATGGCCAGTGTCATAGCTCCAAAACTATATTCTTCCTATGTAGGCACTCAATTACACTTCATGGAGATTTTTGTTGCCTAAATAGATAATCAACTTGTTTAACAAGAATATGTTTCTTGTAGGTTCTTGGCCACTTTCTCCCCTTGACACTGGCAGAACTTGTGCCCAGGACTTAACTTTGTCCCCCTATTTTTTTTGTTTCCAGCAGTTTTATTTCATTCAAAAGGAAACAATCCCACAGATACATATTAAAACATGCATTGTGGGAATCCTCTGTCTTGACTCCTCATTTATTGACAGAACAGCTCAGTTGGGAAGAGACCTTAAAGATCATCTTGTTCCAACCTCCTTGCCATGGACTAGGGCACCTTCCACTATACCAGGTTGCTGAAAGCCCCATCTGACGTGGTCTTAAACATTTCCAGGGATGGGGCGTCCATAACTTCTCTGGACAACCTGTTCCAGTTCCTCACCTGACTTACAGTAAAGAATGTCTTCCTAATATCTAATGTAAACCTACCCTCTTCCAGTTTAAAGCCTTTTCCCTTTGCCCCATCACTACATGCCCTCATAAAAAGTCCCTCTCCAGGCAGGCCCCCTTATTGACAGAACAGCTCAGTTGGGAAGAGACCTTAAAGATCATCTTGTTCCAACCTCCTTGCCATGGACTAGGGCACCTTCCACTATACCAGGTTGCTGAAAGCCCCATCTGACGTGGTCTTAAACATTTCCAGGGATGGGGCGTCCATAACTTCTCTGGACAACCTGTTCCAGTTCCTCACCTGACTTACAGTAAAGAATGTCTTCCTAATATCTAATGTAAACCTACCCTCTTCCAGTTTAAAGCCTTTTCCCTTTGCCCCATCACTACATGCCCTCATAAAAAGTCCCTCTCCAGCTCTTGCAGGCCCCCTTTGGGCACTGGGAGACTGTTGTAAGTTTTCCTTGGAACTTCTCTTCTCCAGGCTGAACAATCAGATCTCACTCAACCTGTCATCACAGGAGAGGTATTCCAGCCCTCTGATCATCTTCTTGGCCCTCCTCTGGACTTCCCTCAACAGTGCCATGTTCTTCTTACACTGGGGGTCCCAGAGCTGGACACAGTACTCCAAGTGGGGTCTGGTGACAGCAGAGTTTTGATGGTTTTATTATTGTTTTCAAATAAGCAATTATATCTACCGACCACGCTCCATTGCAATTTGGTGCATTTTGCAACAAAGGTAAAATTAACATCAGTCAAGATTTTTACAACTAGACTTTAGCTTTTGAGGAAGAAAACAATAAGCAGTCATTAAGGCTTCTGTATATAGAACCATTTATGTCTGGAACAAGAAAATATAAATAGCATTCTGAGACTGATAATGACTGTCCAGCTGCCCGTAGGAGTTTCTGTTTTCTTTATAATTTCACTGTCATATTTGAGCGATATAACTGACAAGCCAGTGTTGAGCATATTTTTCAGGCTAAACAAAATTAAACAAAATTCATCAATTTTTCAGGCCAAACAAAATTCATCAATAATTTGCAGAGCCATTTCAGGAAGGAAATTTTACTCTGCTTCACACAGTGCAATAGAGTACTCGACTTAGCGGTACTAGATAGCTCTAGCCACATAAGTGCAGAGAAAGAATGAAAAATGTTTTCTCAAGTTATAAGGAGCCAGATTCATAACCATCCGTCACTCGCCTGGGCAAGTTACTGATAAACTCCACAGGAAAATAACAAACAGCATATCCCCATATCTTGGCTGGTGAAAATGAGATTCTTTCTCTGATTGATGTTAGCAGAGAGGCTTGTAAAAATGCATTTCCAGCTGATTAGTTCAGAAGGTGTCAATCTCATGCAGTTTTATGACCTGCAGACTATACTCCAGATGTACATTTGCTTTTTATAAACTAACAAAGATGAATGGAGAAATTTGAGCATTTCTTTGGCAACTGCACCAGATATTGCCTGAGAGACCATACAGAGATATAAAACCCCAAAACTATGCTTTTAACCATCAGTACCCCCAGCTTTGACGCTGATCCAGCCTTCTCGAGTTAAAACCAACCAGGGAGGTCAGTACTTCAGCTAGGAAAGGGTTTCATATTTTACAAGAATGAGACTAGAAAATCAGAAGAGTTGCAGACTATTTGAGGTTGGAAAGGCCTCTGGAAATCCTCTAGTCCCACCCCTACTCAGAGCAGGATTAACTAGAGCAGGTTGCTCAGGGGTGTGTCCAGTTGGGTTTTGAATGTCTTCAAGGATGGAGACTCCACAATTTCCCTGGGCAGCCTTTTGCAGTGTCCAACCAATTTGACAGTAAAAAAGGGTTTGTGCTGTTTAGACCAAATTTCCTGTCTTTCAGTCTGTGCGCGTTATCTCTTTCCTTTTGCTGCGCACCACTGAAAGGTGGATTTTTTTTTAGACCCTCCCAAAGGAGAGATGTGTCAAGCCCTTAACCATCTTCATGGCCCTTCACTGAGCTTGCTCTAGTATGTCCATGTCTCTTGTACCCGAAAGTCCACCTTGCACACCAAGCTCTGTGTGCAGGTGTGGCCTCACTGGTGGAGGTTCACCTCCCCTGACCTGCTGGCAAAGCTCCTAATAACGCAGCCCAGGATGTCATTGGCACCTTCTTTGCTGCAGGGACATGTTGCTGGCTCATGTTCAGTTTCATGTGTACCAGGATGCCCAAGGTCTTCTCCACAATGCTGTGTTCTGGTGCAGGGGCTTGTTCCTCCCCAGATGCAGGACTTTGCACTTCCCTTTGCTGAACTGCATCTGGTTCCTGTCAGCCCATATCTGCAGCCTGTCAGTGTCTATCAGAATGGCAACACAACCCTCTGGCATATCCTCATCCCAGGAAAAATCGATGTTCGTTCTTTTCTCCTAAAAAAATTTAAACTTTGATATACTTAATGATGGCTTTTTCATCCCTTTTATTTTCCCTGAACTGACTTCAATGTCAACCGAGTTAAATAAGGATTTTAGATGTGCAAAAGAACAGAAATCCCAGTCCTTTGCTATTCTGCCAATCCTCTAACTGATCCACATAGCACAGCGATACTTAGAAGAATA